GGATGAGAAAGAGGAAGAATGAAATGAAATGGAAGAAAGAAAATCAGCTATCAGCCTTGCACGAAGATTAATGCCGACGACGAAGATGATTATGAATGCGATAATGATGACGTCATCGCTATGATGAAGATAATGTTGATGATGGCACTAGCTTGTTTTGATTTACATTATTAATCCATTCCATCAAATCAAACATAGGAACCTAACAATGGATTAATTATTTTTGCTTGGTGTTGTATATTATATATATATATATATATATATATATATATATAATATATATATATATATAATAAATATTATAAATATAAATAATAATAATATTTATTATTATTCTTCTTCTTATGGAGGCCATATTTATGAATTACAGCATTATTATTTATACTCGAGGACCAAAAAACTCATAACGTTTTTACTTATTGGGTCTATGTATGTGTATGTGTGCGTTTATGTATGTGTGCTTATATGTGTGTATGTGTATACGTTTTTCTATATGTGTGCATGTATATGTATGTATGTGTATATTTACATTTGTGTGTGTGTGTGTATGTGTGTGTGTGTATGTATCGAAATTACGAACAACATTTTAATACAACTTTTTATTTATAGAGAGATTGACAAGTATAAGTGATGGCTTGTATCAGTGATACACGTACATCGTACACACACACAAACACATACACATTCACACACGCACATTCACACACACACATATATACACACATAGACATATATTTATAGACACATATATTATAAGAAAACAGTGAATGTCTTTGTTAATATTGTTGATAAGGTCTTCTGAAACATCAAAAAATAGTTAGTAGCAGTTCACGGTAAGTAAGTTGAAAGGAAATAATTCTCTCAAGCTTGTGATAAAAAATTTGTTATCGTTTGTCGTTAATTTGGAATATGTTATCATCATAAACATGGTCGTCATCATCGTCATCGTATTACAATCGTCATCATCTCCTTCATCATCTTCATCATCTTCATCATCGTCATCTTCGTCATCGTATTACAATCGTCATCATCTCCTTCATCATCTTCATCATCTTCATCATCTTCATCATCGTCATCATCGTCATCTTCACAATCATTTCCCTTGCAGTAGCTGGGCAATTTCTGCATTCTTCAAAGAGCCATTAACAAACTCATCCTCCGACAGCACACCGTTTCTATCGATGTCCAGCTTCATTATTTCTTTGGCTGACGCCAGGGCTTTCTTCTGGGCGTCTTTCTGCCCCTTTGCTTTATAGAGGGCCTGGTTGATTGGTTGGTTGGTTGGATGGTTGATTGGATGGTTGATTGGATGGTTTGTTGGTTGGTTGGTTGGTTGGTTGGTTGGTTAGTTGGTTGGTTGGTTGGTTGATTAGCTGGTTGGTTGGTTGATTGGCTGGTTGGTTGATTGGATGGTTGGTTGGTTGGTTGATTGGTTGGTTGGTTAGTTGGTTGGTAGGTTGGTAGGTTGGTCAGTTGATTTTTCCAATTAATATATATAACTTATTCAAACAATCAATTAATAATAGTC